GTCTCTTTGGTTAACCACAGTATCCAAATAACATTGATTCCTCATTCAGACAAAGAAAACAAAAAACAGGGAAACTAAAGGAGAGCTCATTCCCCCGAGAATCTTGTTCATTGGTCTTTTCCAAAACATTTGGCAAGAAACCACAAGGATATTGGGTTTTGGCAAGATACTAAAAGTACAGATTTAAAAATTTGGACAGATATAAAAGCCTAGAAACTTCTTGGTGACTTGATAGAACTATTTATAAATGGTAGATCAGGCTCATTTGTTGCCCAAAAGCCTTGTAAAATTGCCAAAAACAGGGGGTTGAGCCATCTTGAGCTATATCAAGTAACTAGAAAAAATTAGGGGGCTACAGGAAATCTTCATGGTGCACCCCCGCTATGGGCTTGGGCAGACCCCATAAAAGTTTTTCAGAGCAATGCAGGCCATGTGTACTCAAATACATCTGATAATATTTAGCCACACAAACTCTCAAAGAGAATTATGTACGATTACAGCCAAAGTAACTGTTAACAGTGGAAAAACAAATAAATGAAATCATAGCAACAAAAAGGAAAAGAGAACCAATAAAATTGTAGATTTAATCATAGGCTAGAGAAAATTTTTGAAATTGGGGCAAAGCAAATTTAATTGTGGCTTGAAAAGCATCTGCATGCGATCAAAGAGTGGTGAGGTGTATTTAAGGATCGCAGGGGTTGAAATTGTCAAAAAAATAATAATAGCCCATACTCATGTTCAATCATAGCAAGCTGGGAAAACCACTCACCATCCCCTGTTGTCCAATTAATCTGCAACCAACTAGATCAGGGGTGTCAAACTCAAGACCACCCTGGAAACAGCAAAGGACAGGCCAACGGTGCCTCTGCCCGTGAAAATGGAGCTTGGGAGGGTCAAGGGCAGCCTTCCTGAGCTCCATTTTCGCAGGCAGAGCGTTGCAGGAGTCCGTCGCAGCCGAAAACGGAACTCAGGAGCCCGTTTTTGCTGGCAAAGCGCTCAAGCCACTACAGGCACCCTGAACATCAGTGACATTGAGCTGGCCACACCCATTTTGGCCACACACGCACATACACACACCCCAGGTGAAACACAACCCCGATGCGGCTCTCAATGAAATTGAGTTGACACCTCTGAACTAGATGGCAGGAGATAGTTTCCTAACGACAATACACCATCAACAATAAGGAAATAGCCATTCTGATTGGATACCTCAAGGGTGCAAAGATTTAACTTTGCTTTTCAATGATCCACAGGAAGTGTTATGTACTTAAGAGAAATGTTTAACTTGGTTCTGGGAACCTACCAGACCGGACATGGTCTGCTCTTGTGTATTGCTTAGTCAGCTTCTAGGAACAGTTCCCAACCATGCATTCATTCCACATGTCTAGGATGAGCAGTGCCAACATATGAATTCTTAGGAAGGAGAAAGTCTTCCTTGGAAGGAGAGATGTAATCCACTGAATTCAAACTATCAGCAAAAATTGGGGGGGGGTGTTTGACTCTTTTTTAAGAGATTCCCAGAAATATACTCTAGTGTTTTTTGGAAAGCGTTCCATCCAAAACAACTTCTTTTTAGCAGCTGCTTTAAATTCTCAAAAGACATTCTCTGTTTCAGTGCATAAGTCTTTCTCTGATGATCCTCAGGAGAGAATAAAACAATCTGAAATAGATGTTCATGCTGTTATAGAATACATTAAATAGGTAACCAAGCAAAATACAATTACAAAGTAATTCAGGCAAGGCTCATACTACAGTAGATGTTAACAATCTAAAAGCATAAACAGGATGTTTTCCCAACTAATGTTGCTTCATCCAATTAGTTGGTGACCCCAGCTAGGGAACAGAAGATCCGCAGAGCCAGATAAACACAGTGAGAGGAATAAAACGCAGATTCAGCAAGTTAATTCCTCTAAAGATTCTTGGGTTGTTGCTTTTATGCTTTTTTTTCTAGGCTGTGTTGATCCTGCCTTCCCAATGCTAACTGGTGAGGAGCTCAAGATAAACTGGCACTTCTGACGGCTCAGGATCCTCATATTACATAAGCGTTATACTAATGTCTCTCTTTGGCCGTCCGGAACCTAGATCAGGCTAATTCTGATGCTGTCCTTATATCCTTGTCTCTAGCCTGATCCTTGCTGTTATGTGGATCTAGGGTCCCACCCTGTCTCTTTCCATTCATCCATCACCTTGGTGCCTCTGCTGGGCGTTCCAGTAAGCAGCTTACATCATTTTTTTCTGCCTGGTTCATCATGTCTCTCAAGACCTTCTTGCTCAATAAACAAATTATATTACAATGGCCTTTATATTTGTATGATGTACGAAAGTCTAAAACAATGTTCAAGTTCTCAATTTTTGATCCAAAATCTCCATCTTTAATCTATTTGTAATGCCAAGCAGTAATTAATACACTGTGCTGAATAGGATTTCTGACAAACATCTTACAACTGTGTAATTACACATGCATATGACAGGCGTGTTGGCGTGTCCAACCAGTAAACAACATCAGGAAATTGTTATTGAGTGAAATGACTTTAGGCAGGGAGAAAGGCTGCACACACACACACACCCTCACACACAGTCACTGGGAAAGAGGACTGCAGGTAAGTAGCCAATATGTATGTATGAATAAATGTCTGAGCATGTATTGGTGCAACAATGCACTAATAACCACAATGAAAATTGTTAGGTTGCATAAATATATTAAGACAGCTGCATTTTGATAGTCCTGGGTCAAATTGAACTGGCTCTACAACAGAAGCCAATAATTGTGCAATAGGAGCATGAGTAAGTAATGTTCTCCCATTATTTGGCATATCTGTCTGTATGATTTGTATTGTATGTCATGGCAGCCAGTTTAATAGCTATGATGAGCTAGTTGTTAATAGCCTTGCATTCTTTTTTTCAGTAGTTTTAAGATTCTGATAAATGAGTCCTCCAATAGAACATTGCATCATAAGATACTTCTAAATAGGGGAATAGCCAGCCAGTCACCTAGTCCCTTCCACTCAGCTTGACCTTCCAGTTTTCTGTTCCTCCCTACATTCAAGGCAGGGTTCATATGATATGCTTAATTCCATATCAGGTTAACAAAGCCAGTTGTGTTCACATAACATGGTATGCTCAAACAAGCATGTTACTAATTGACTCAGTATGTTAAGACAAGACTTTCCCATATTGTGCTAAACAACACAGCCCCGCTTTAGCCAAATTTAGGCCTAATCTGATATCACAGAGAGGTTCTGTGAGAGATACTTCCCCCTTGTTGTTCTCCTGCCACAGCAAAATATATTATATTTTCTGCATGGCACAGCATACCTCTAAGATGACAATGCCTTCCTCTTGAATGTAGACCTTCTGGCGCTCAGAGGACAAAATTGCCATTAAAGATTGCAAGATGTCAAACTAAGTTAAAATAAGAAGCATTGAAGTCAACTTGGTTTCTTTGGATGTGTCAGATTATCAACCTTGGAGAGAATGGCCAATTGCTTGCCAGAAAATTATGGGCAGCTGTAATCTGGAGATCATCTGATCAGAGAAAGATGGCAGCATTTACATCTCTTTGGAAAGGAACAACTGTGCAGACATGGACCTTAATTGTTATTGTCAAGCCACAGCTAAAGAGCAACCTGTCTGGCCTGCAGCCATCTTTTATTTTGGATCTTTGGTCTGCCACACTTTCTATTATTCTATTATGCATTTTCTATTGTGGGAAAATGTGAGGGGGGATTGTAGGAGTGAGATGCGATGTAGCCATAACAAAATTCTTTCTAGAAAGCCAAGGTCATCTTGCACCTGACCGGAACTGGATGAGTGGAACTGCCAGCATGGCAGTGGAAGATTGGACCATGTGATGGACTTGAGGGCAAGATTTTGAACTTGCAACTGGG